ACAATGATTTGGCTTTTTATTATTATTATTTTTTCGGGACATCGTCTTACTAAAATGTGGCTGCGATGCATGTACGTGTACATGCCAAAATTATTAATGTTTTCTGTAGTGTTTATCTGGTGCTCGTGATCTATACGTGGATAACATAATGTTACTGCGGCTAATACGATAATAATAGTAATAATACAATTACTTCCAAATGGTATGCGATCTACAAAATCTACAAAATGTTTAAGGAAACATTTTCGGTGAACTTTGTCATTAGTTTACTTGTAAACTGGTGTACATTTTTCATGTTTCTACGTCGCATTTCTTATTTTGGCGTTTCTACATTACGTTTCGTCTACATAGCACATTTGATATTTATTTATTTATTGTTGTTGTTGTTTTTTTTTTTTTAAGATGAATTCTTTCTATTTTATCAGTATAATATGTCAGCATTAGACAAGAATATTATTAACTTTCGGTTTTTAATCATTACTAATACTCAAATGTATTCGTTTGAAAATCTTACTAGATCTTCTAAAACTGTAAGTTACGATATTTTTATTTGACAAAATATTTTTGCAACTCCCTCTCCCCCCTTTTTTTACAGTCATTAAATGGAGGTAATATATATTATTTTATTTGTTTACAAAAGTTTAAAATAACTGTGGTTATAAAACATTCTAATAAAAAAAAAAAAAACTTATCATGTATTATCATAATGTTACATTCCTACAAATATAGATTGTCCCAAGAAGATATACCTATTAATATCTTTGGAAATAATATAAATAATTAAATTATGTTTTCTTTTTTCGATATTACTCACATGAATAAGGACTAAAAATATTTATATTTGAATTTATTTTGGACATTTTGGTAAAAATAACTTTTCATTGACTATCATTATTATTATGGATAATTGACTCTGTATAATTTTTTTTTTTTGAACCGTAACAAATTAATTATGATAAATTTAAAATTGAATGAAAATAAAAAGTTGAAATGTCAACATTTTAAGAAGTGTAAACTCTATAAAAATAACAATTTTCAAATTGTTCGAAAATAATAAATCAAAGTTATTTGTAAATTTTTTTACCGAATATACATATTGAATTAATATATAAATACATGTACTTCTCTCGTGAGCAAAATATAAAAAAAAAAACAAAATTCGATTATTTTTATTATTTCAGGAGTTATTGCAATGTATACATCTCCGTGAGATACCCCGTATAAGTAACATTATAGTATAGAGACACGTCCAGTCATATTTATAGTCTATAGAATTGATATTCATTGTATATGTTTCACACGGATTTGTTGTATACGAATCGTTAATACTATATATTTAAGCCACATATAGTATTATAATAAAGACGAACGGTCGCTACGAAAAGTTGTTGACAGACAGAAAAAATAAAAACCGCACATCATGATAAATCCCATAGAACCTTAGTTATGCTCAGAATCTAAAGGTCTAAATCTCAAATAACAGAAACAGTAAAGTAAGTTTTTAAGTAAAAGTTGTTTACATTAAAAGAAGGACAGCACACCTAGTAAAAACCATACATTCCATTCTAAGCTCACAAAAATAAAAAAATACATAACGTAATATTATATGTATTCTACTGTATCTACTGGATGTTTTTGCACATGATCGAGACCGAAATATGTACGAACGTGTCAAAAACGTTAAATATTATATAAAGTTTATAAAAAAAATCTATTCAGGTTACAATTATATTGTATTTTTTTTTTCAAAATATTTATCACACTTTTAAATACAAGACGAATTTATTTTTTTTATTCAATGAATTTCTCCTTGTGACGATTTATTTCCCAGCATTACACTATACACGTAATATATTATAGACATTTCGCTGTACTATACATCATCGCTATATTTATGACGTATGCGTATTTTTATGTCCAATATTATCGTTGTACATTTATACTATTTTTTATTTTTATTTTTTTTTTAAATATTTACGCGATTACGATATTTTCCAATCAATAGTTAGAAACTCTATATTATTATTGTTACACACACGAATGCAGTATCTACTTAAATAAATTATTTATATCTATAGTCTACTTTTTGAACCATATCTATTTCCTGTTATACCAGATTTTATGTTAGACATAACGCGTTTAATAGAAAAAAAAATATGTATTTTTTTTTTTTTAAATAGTGGAATACTCGTAATAACGAGTGATATGCTTTAATATTTTATGACGAACTTTTGACCGTGGTATGATATAAGAATACTACATGCGTGATATTGTTCGATAATTAAAATTGCATAAGTTACAAAGATAGGTTGGTGCGTAATCATTTTATAGTTTGTTGGCCGACGGATTATTCGAAGTCTGATTATTATCGTCTGTTGTACTTTACTTTATTTGTTAGTGTTTCGAGATGATTTGTGCATAAACCAAACGTTTAACCCGTGAGGTGGGCAGGGGGTGAAGTTAGGGGTTATACCTAAATCCTAATTGGTTTAAAAATATAAAAACTACATGAATATTGTAAATTTCAATCGAGTTCTATGGGAAGGATTGATTTATTGATTAAAAATTCTTTATTTTGGATCTGGCTTTTATATTCTCATTACCGAGTTAGATGCATATGACGAAGATTCTAACGATTTATTTGCTACAACTCATCCCTTTGAAAATTCCTCGGTGCGTCACTGCGTTTAAGTTTTGTTAATATACAGTAGAAGTTTACGATTTCAAAATATTTAAAGTATACTTCAAACGGTCGTAGAAAGATAGTTTTGATGTAATTTTATATTGTCCATAAAATTCTGCGAAAGTTTAATTTTAAAAATTTGCCATTGAGAAATATAAGGTCAATGTGCAAGTACACACGATTTCACACGAGTAAATTGTGTAGCCTACAGTGCCTGTTATAAGGAGTCTAGTGATTTTCAGATTAAAACAAATAATTGGCCATAATTACATATTTCATTCCACAATTAATTTTAGTTAATTTATGTGTTTTAATATTATCGTACATAATTTTTTCATATCATCAATTTTGTTGGTCGTTGTTTGTAGCGGACTGTTTTAAATAATTATCTAATCATATTACGATCTAATACTATAAATGTATTCACATAGTGTCGATCACTATATTTAACAATACCTATCTCTATCCGGAAAATTAGATTACAGTGATCATCCACTGCTCGCGGTTGTTAATTTATTAGGTATTTATGGGACGCCGATTTTCTTTGCAATCGAGTGAGTGTCTTTCGATTTCCACGTTTATTTGTTTGTTGGAAAAAAAGACGTTCATGTTGANGCTCGCGGTTGTTAATTTATTAGGTATTTATGGGACGCCGATTTTCTTTGCAATCGAGTGAGTGTTTTTCGATTTCCACGTTTATTTGTTTGTTGGAAAAAAAGACGTTCATGTTGATTACTCCATTTTTCAATATTCCTAATAACAAACACTAAAAAGGGTACATATTTAACTTCTTTTTACTGAATTTTTTTCTATTATTCTGTTAAATCAAATGAAAAATCGAAATGTTTTTGTTTATCATTTAAAAATAAAATGGTAGACAATGAATTTTCCCTTTCCCGCAGTCATTTTCATCTGTAAAAACGGTCACACCCTTCTCCCTAAATGGATTTCGGAAAGTCATATTAAAAATCATTTTAAAATTATTCAAAATTTGAAAAACCGTAACCCAGCTCTTTATTAATAATTGTTCAAAATTGTTTAGTTAATAAATACACATACATGATATAATTTTGAACTCCAAACGGAATCGTTTAACTGCATTATATCGCATTGGTTAATGGTTTACAATTACACTTTCGAATAAAATTAATACAAGGTACAGAATACTGATGTGCATTTCTGTCACTTTCCCAAGAATGTGGCCAAACACCCAAATCATGTTTTAACTTTACTCGTATATCATCTAAAATGATATATGTACTTTTTTTTTAGATTCGGAACATAGCAGGGGAATTGGTTTTAACATAATGAGTGTTGTTCTTTTTTTTTTCTGTCTGTAAACAATTTTTCTACCAGAAAACTTGCTTTGAAGTATGATCTGTAGCATCAATTCTGAAAGGTAATTTTCTTTCGTTGGTGCATTGAGGAGGTCAATTTTCGATTTTCAAAGGAAAAATCCGAAAGAAAAGTATAGCTAAAACGGTAAATATTTAAGGCGCGCCGCGGCGTTACCGTTTTCATTGTTTTTATTATGTTAACACGATGTTTTCTATCTATGAAACATTGCTCTAATCTCAAAATGACAGTAAATCGATTCCTTATATTCCTTATAATTAAGGATCGGATTTACATGTAAATATATATTTTTACTGTGACTTGATAAATTAATTTTGGTAAGTGATATTTTGTGTTAAGTGATTTTCAATAGAACGAACTACCTATATTTGGTTTTACACATTCTTACATATTTCGCCATAAATACATGTGTTTACATATTTCTCAATAATTTCATTTTTTCTACATGTTTTGATAATTTGTTCATATAGGGTTATTTGTATACGATTATATTTTTCAAAACAGACAATTTCCCATGTTTCCAAAAGTACGTAAACAAAATAATACTAAATAAAATTCATTAGAGCTATCCATTGCGGAATAAATGGAATAATAGTGTAGACTGAGCTAACTTCTTCGGACATTGCAAATATGAAATTTGTACCCATTACCTATGTTGAAGTGAAGTGTTCGTTTAATCGGTAAAAATCTAAGTTACGATCAAACAGTAGATCATTTAACTTTGAAAATTTGAGCTTGTATATTATGTTTATGATATCTCATTGATACCATAGTCAAGATGAATAAGGTTCAATTTCATAATAATTTCAATTCAAATTTTTCAACTTTTGTATTTTCATTTTTTGTTTGTCATTTATAAAGCAATTTTTAATTTTTTTTATGTCAGTAATGTAATTTTTTGTAATTTTTATAAATTTCATATTTTTATTTTTTTATTATATACAAAGCGATTTTTGATTACATATATATTTACATATTTTGGTTTTTTTTAATGCATATAAATCCGAGCCCTACTTATAATACTTTGCCACAGACAGAGTTAGTCGTTTTTTAATACTCAAAGTATTTTTAATAATGATTAGGAAGAACCAAAATAGATGAAATATACAATTTTTTCGAAATTACAGCATACCGATTTCATTATTTTAAATTTGTACGGCTTATGTTTACCACCATTAATATTGAAAGCCATTAGACCTTTTTTGTTTTATTTTTAATCTAGTTTACAAGTAAATTATTTGTATTTTGATTTTCTCTGTAATTTTATCAATAATTAAGAAAAAATCGGAAAAAAACGAAAAATTAAAATCGACAAATTTACGGCTTTATGATTTCATTATTTTAAATTTGTACGGCTTATATTTTCTACTATAAATATTACTCCAATAAAAAATCATCAAGAGATCTTTTATGTTGAATTTGTAATCTAGTTAGTGAACAAGAAAGTCAATTTTTGATTTTCTTTTTAGTTCTAATAATAATTGAGTAAAACCAACAAAAAATGCAGAAAGTATGGGAACATGTACGCAATTAATTCTTTATTATTTTCATTTTTATTTTTTTAGTGAAATTTAGTTTAGCACATTCATAAAGACCTGAAATTTTTATGTAACATGTATACATGTTAACATGTATTTGCTTTTTCTAAACGTGGTAAAACTTTCAGAAAATTTGAACAATTTTTTAGTTACTTATAGACATTTTAATTTTGCAAATTTTGTACGTAATTTTTATTTGGTAAGTACTCTGTGGAAAAAATTGTTTGATAAAAAAGAAATGTTTGAAAATTTAACAGGAGGTTCATTGTAAGTTGTCCTTAGTGGTGAACAAGAAATAATTAAATTTAAGATAATATATTTTTTTTTTATATAAAAATTTGTTATCAAATTTTTAATTGTACCGAAAGGTTTCTTAATTATCTCACTTTGTGTAAAAAAAAAAATTGAGCTTTATGTTATATTTCTTTTTATAAAATAATTTTAATATCAAATTTTGACGAAAATTATCTGAGTAAAAAATTATATGGAGCAAATTTAGTTTCTGATCCATGCAAATTTTTTAATTTTTCTTGTTTTGATCATATTATGTATTCTTATTGCTGATTTAGGTTTGACTAACTTAGTTTAGAAATCATAGCTTTTCGAAGTTCTAATATTATATGGATAATATAATATGCATTATGTTAAATATGTCAATAATGCAATTTCATTGACACGTTTTCGTGGTTTATTGGTAGCATGTACCTGTTGTCGACCTAGAGGTTCTAACACGAGTTTTGAAAATGTTTTTTGTAACATCACGTCGGGGAAATAACACGGAAAAAACAAATATTTTATTAGTCTTAAAATAAAATTTTGATGAAACTGTAATTATTAGGTACGGCCGTTCAATACTTGTACAACCGAACTTCGCGCCAAATCCTATCTCGCTATTAATGGTTTATCGTTGGTTATAGCCTACAGGTGTAAATTAAATAACTTAATGATTCCATCTTCCTTGCTACCCACTTACAACAGTGACAGCACTTTTTTTTTTTCAATGATTTCTTTATTCGCGTCAAATCATTTATTATTATGGGCGCAATTTGATAGACTTTTGTACTTTTGTACACGGTTAGGTTAACTAACCTAACTAAATATGTTTATTTCCAAATTAAATATTAATTATTTTTATTAATATATATTAATTAAATAACCAATACTTGTAAATCCTTGATAAATCCTGCGCAGTTTGATATTGTAAAATTCAGTGGTGGCACTAACTCCGATCACGAGTGACGAGTGATAAAATTATTTTTGGTGTCTCTACAGTTATTTCCATTATAGTTTCCATTGAATTTCCGGAAATTTAATAAGACACGTTTCATTAAAAATATATTTATCTACATTGACATAAATACAAACAATAATTTATTGCATATACAAATAAATATGTATACATGGAAACACCTTCTTTTAATATCAATATAATTCAAATCGAATAAAATGTACCTACTCGTAATATAATTTATAAATGCATAGTTTTCGTTGAAATTGCGTATAATATATTCATAGTATTTATATATATTTGACTCGCTTAAATGTATTCGAATGACAAACATTAATAAAAAAAAAAAAAAAAATATAATATGTATATGTGTTAGATACCTCTTTTATAATATTGTATATTCATGCGAGTACAATTGTATAATGACGTGCCTATACACTATATAGTTGTGTTGGTTTGTATAATATAGAAATTATAAATTAAAATATACATTTATTATACAAAGATGTATATTATATATTTTACAATAGACGCGTTATTTGCATTCACATCTGCCAAAAATAGAATTTCGAGGAGATCAACTTTTTTTTTTTTTAAATGTGCTCTGCAAATTGTATGTGCGCAAGCGCTTTGTATACGTGTTTTACAGGACGATCATTATAACGTAAGACATCCATAATATCGGAAAGGAATAACTTATTTCGGAATTTGATTTTTAGAACATTTAAAAAACAAGGTGCTCTATAATGTTATATTGTCGTTTTTTTTTTGTCATCCTTTTTTTTTTCTTGGAGGGGGGTTGATATGACTACGTGTTTTTTATTTTAAAATAACCACCTATGTATATTAATATTTCCTGATTTCATGAATAGATCAATTTGTAGTGTTTACAAATTTAAGATTCGGAATGTAGCGAAACTCCAAATCGTTTTTCGTTAGCAATGGTTTATTATTGCGTATAGATATCTACTATAGTACTGAACTGTTTTAAAATTACTTGGATATTGTTTATTTTTTAATTGACAAATTATTAGACAGAAGATGATAATGTTAATAATATTAATGTTAACTCATACCTATATTTAAATATCAAATTTTATGTTTTATATTATACCGAATTTTAATCGCATTGATTATAATTATATTATGTTATGCTTTCATTTTACGTTATTATTAACTCTCTATGGTTCCAATCCGAAGATTGGTTTGACGCCTATTGCCAATTTTCTCTAATATCCGAAACATTACATTAACATATTAATTATTTACGACGGACATTTAAATTCATATTAATATTATTAATTTGTTTGGTATTTTTATTATGAGTATATTGCTTATTTTTAATTATTATACATTATTCACACACATTTTAACCATTCACATCTTTTGATCAATTTAAAATATCAATATTTATTTATTTAAATGCCAAAACTGGCAATTTTTTACATGGCAATCTTAAAGTTAACTAGAACTAGAGGAGCTGACAGTAGCAGGGTAATTTTAATTTAAGGAAAATGGTTGAATATCAATACTGATATCAAAAAAAAAATAAATAAAATAAGGTCCTGAAAACTTTTTTGGGCCACTAGTGTACTGAAAAATAGTTGGCTGGGTCTCTTCCAGTCCGCCCCTGTAAAATACCTATTTACTAGTGTATAATGTAATGTGTCAAACAGTATATAATGTTAATGCAAATTTTTATGTGGATTAAGTAAGATCGAGGGAGTTCTATTTTTTTTTCAATAGTTGATTTTCTGTGAAAATCTCATTTTCAATATTTCTTAATGTACAAGCCATTCATTTTGATGTTTTATCACTAGATATACCGCTGTAAAAAAAATCCCAAATGTTAATAAATATGGCGTAAAACCGAAGATACGAAAAAAACGATTCATAGTTTTTATTGTTAACATATTACCGTTTATATATGTATTCAAGGGTGTAATATTTGAATAGTATAATTATTATAACTTTCGCATACTCGTATTTGTATAATTTTATTTTTTATTTTTAAATGTTATCATTATTGAACACAAGTATAGATACAGGTTACAATATGTTTTTTAATTTTGCTGGATGCCTTAGTAATTGGCTCTTTATGTATATAGTTTTAAAATCGTTCTTGTATACAAATATAGTTTTAATGTCAAACAAAGTCTAGACCGCTATCCGAGCGTTAAATTTAAGAATAAAAAAAATTAGTATGTATTATACGTAAAATAATGTTCCGTTATCGAAACCGTCGGGATGGACGCATAACAATACTTTAATGTATATATATATATATATATATATATTTGAAATGTATTTGAAGAGTATATTATGATGAAATATAAAGACTATTATCACGTACGTAAATATGAAAAATTGAAAAATTCCATCATTAATCTACAGCGCTTGTTTATACCTATAATGTTGGTCATTAAATCAATGCAAATTAAATCAAAGTACCAATGCTCAGTATGCAATTCGAAAAATGCGCAATGAGTTTGTCTAGACTAAAAGTCATTTAAGTCACATTAATAGAAGAAGGAGTTAATAGCGTATATTTTTATTTTTCTGTAGCTTATAAAGGGCTACAGAAAAAATTTGTTTTCAGTGTTTTTGTTTTAGTTCGTGTACAGGCAATTTTAACTATTATTGAACCATATAGTCGTCAGTCATGTTATATATCAACGTAAGTACAATATTCAATTATTAGTATAGGTACACTATATTCCGTACAAAAATGTATGATGAATATGTTTTAGCCATACCTCTGTTTTCGTAATTTAAATGTCTTATTGTGTTTTAATACTTTTATTTTTGTTTTATATTAAAATAATACAATTCATATCTTAAATGTAGATCCATAAAACATTGTATATGTTCACGAATCAATATTTCTTACAACAATATGGATATTATATTTGATTTTTATTTTTTTATTACACTTATTCATACTATTTATCATTATATCATCATATTAACGTTACCTATAAATATAACCGACATTTTTCAATAGATCACTAACGATACAAATTAGATTAGTAGGTAAATTAAATGTATTAATTCAATTTTTATTTAAAACACAACAAGAACTCAGATAGTGTTTAAATCATCATTATTAATTATTATTTTTGCATTATGTTTCTATATATAGGGCATCTTGCTGTTATTTTGTGTATCGTGTTTAGCATGCTTCGACAAAAAACCGCTGAAAGAACATAATATTTTATTTAACGGTTACAAATTAATTTTTCCGATAAAAAAAAACCATACTGTAATCAATCGTCCTCCATCAACTACACCTTCACCGACATATTTTACGGTTCCTACTGAACTAACTAGAGTGTCAGAGTCTGTGTCTACTCTACTTCCAGTCACACAACAACAGAATCCTGTAACTCCACAAGTAATACTGTTGTATCCACCACAAACAGAGCAGTCTTCATCTCAACAAAATGTGCCGTTTGTGAACGCTCCGAATTATACCACAGCATTACCTCCACAGCATGAACAACAGTATCTACTGCAACAAGGACAGCTGTATGGACCTCCATCAAATGTGCAATATCCATCACAAGATAAGCAGTATTCTCCACAGCCAGAACAGCAGCATTCCTCGCATCAAGAACCACTGCAGTTTCCACCGAAACAAGAGCCACAAAATCCTACACAACAAAGGCCGCTATATGCATCTCCGCCAGATATTAAATATCCATCACAACAGGAACCACTGCAGTTCCTACCACAACAAGAACCACTACAGTTCCTACCACAACAAGGACAACAGTATCAAATAAAACAAGGAACACAATATGTACCTTCACCAGATGTACAATATCCGTCACAACAAGGATTACAGTTCCCACTGCAACAAAGACCGCAATATGCTCCTCCACCAGATGTACAATATCCGCAACAACAAGGATTACAGTTCCCACTGCAACAAGGACCACAATATGCACCTCCAACAGATGTGCAATATCTATCACAAGACCAGCAGTATTCCCTGCAACAAGAACCGCTGCAGTTTCCACCGGAACAAGAGCCACAAAATCCTACACAACAAGAACCGCATTATTCACCTCCATCAGATGTACAATATCCGTTACAACAAGAACAAGAGTATTCTCTACAACAAGAACCACTGCAGTTCCTACCACAACAAGGACAACAGTATCAAATAAAACAAGGAACACAATATGTACTTCCACAAGATGTGAATAATCCGCCACAAGGATTACAGTTCCCACTGCAACAAGGAACGCAATATGCACCTCCACCAGATGCACAATATCCGTTACAACAAGAACAGGAGTATTCTCCACAACAAGAACCACTGCAGTTCCTACCACAACAAGAACCGCATTATTCACCTCCATCAGATGTACAATATCCGTTACGTTCCTACCACAACAAGAACCGCATTATTCACCTCCATCAGATGTACAATATCCGTTACAACCTACCACAACAAGAACCGCATTATTCACCTCCATCAGATGTACAATATCCGTTACAACAAGAACACAATATCCGTTACAACAAGAACAACAATATCCGCCACAACAAGAACAACAGCAGTCGCCACAACAAGAACCACTGCAGTTGCTACCACAACAAGGACAACAGTATCAAATAAAACAAGGAACACAATATGCACCTCCACAAGATGTGAATAATCCGCCACAACAAGGTTTGCAGTTCCCACCGCAACAAGGACCGCATTATGCACCTCCACCAGATTTGGAATATCCTTTACAACAAGAAAAAGTGTATGAATATCTGAATCATCAAAGACCGCAGTATGAACTTCCACAAAATGTGCAAAATGCGTCACAACAAGAACCGCATAATCTAACACAACAAGGACCGCATAATTCAACACAACAAGGAACACAATATGAACCTCCACAAGATGTGCAAAATCCGTTACAACAAGGGTTGCAATTCCCACTGCAACAAGGACCGAAATATGCACCGCCACCAGATTTGGAATATCCATTACAACAAGAAAAAGTGTACGGACCACAGCATTACCAATGTATTCTTTTTAATGATTACGGACCGCCCGTACGTTCAAATAAGCAACAATACACAGGACCTACTAAAGAATATTATTTTGACCGTCAAAATGTCGTCTACAATCAACAGCTGTGTAAGGTATATTTTCAACGATCACATCCGTACGATTCTCAGTATTTTTACAATTACCACCCGGCTCCGTATAATTTCCATCTGCAGCCAAAACTATTTTCAAACGTTCCTCCTAAATTTATTTTACGGCCAGAGAACGTAATGGCTTGATTACGACATTCGCAATTTATTTCTGTATTTTTAATTTACTGTACATTACGATATTTGTCATTATAATAATGTGAATGCTAAAATTATTTTAATCCATTTAATCAAATCATTAAGTATTAATTATATTTTATTACAATAAACTGTAATCATTTTTCTACATCTACCACGTTTGTTTTTTTTTTTTTTTTTTTTATGCAAAATGAAACATATTGCTACCAGGGTATTTATTTGAATCGTAAAATCAATTGAAATTTGTTTAAATAGTATAAACAATACGAGTGAAGAGTTTAATGTTATTTAACAAGGGCCTTTTAATAGGTATGTGCACATTTTTTTCAATTATTGTGTTTCTCGACTGTTATGATATAATAAAGGGTTTATCTTTGATACTGTATCGTAATAATAATGATGAATAATACTCATATTCTGAGTGCATTTACCAACGATATTTTTATGATATTTTGTTAAAATACTACAATTGTTACAGATATACATATTTAATATAAATTCCGTGTATTTATATAATTCATTCACTGAGAATGAGCAATATTTTAACAATTCTCCAAGGTTGTCGGGTAAATGGACTATATAATATAATATGTAAAAAATTATATATTAAATACGTTTGAACGCGGGGATTTGGATTTTATTTATTTTTTTTAAATTCGATTTACATTTCCAAGGTAATTTAAATAACATTCAAACATGTTTTCGCATTATTATATTCTCGTTTCTTTGTCGGATTTTAACGGTCAAAATGTATCGGGCGTCGAGTTGTGCACTTATCAGAAACAATGTAAAATTTTGTAATTATATTCCCAATACTACGTCATTTCGGCATATCCTACTGTATCGTAACGTTCACTGTATGGGTGTTTATGATACAAGTACGTTGAACCATTAGCGAATACCTGTAGGTTATAGACAATCGATTTTGACGTTTCTAGTCAATTCGACATAGGTTTCAAATTGTATTCAGTTATTATGCACGTATGAAATTACTCTAAAGCTAATACGATACCCCTCCCTCCTACTTAATAAATCAAGCAAGTAAAAGTCGAACAAATATGCATAAATATGCAAAATAAAATTGGTAATCTGAATTCTTTGAGTGATAAAACATACTTCTATCATACTCCGCATTAATTTAGATGGTATAAAAAAAAATATGATAAATGCATAGACGTCTATGCATTTATCATATTCTTGACTAGTCTACAATACACTACTAGACTATATCTAGACTAGTTATAACTAATAACTATAATTACTAATATGCGTAGGTAATGGATTTATGCGGTAATGTGTATAAAATGCATATTTATATTATAATAAAATAGTTCAAATCTATTGAGTTATTATGTGCATGTATATCGAAAATACATTTAATTAATTTTGCATATTTATGCAGATAAATAATTTTTTTCGTGCTCACTTTTGGTTTTGGTATATATTTTCACGTATCCTTTTTTTTTTTTTTTTTTTAACCAAAGACAAAACAAATACATAGACATTTACTTGGAATGTTTGGCACTATTAAGTGCTATATTTTATTTAAATATAAAACATATCATTGTACTCAATCCGTATACGTCCAATCACCGAGAAACATAAATGCAATAAAACAATAACGGTGCAAATTGTTAATACAGGTATTATTAATATCATTAATACAGGAGATTAATCGTAACCGTTGGATAGGTATATCGCGGTAATCTATTGGATATGATAACAGACGGCATTGTAGTGTTTGCGAATGACAAAGTTGATTATTACGTATACGTACTATGACTCTGTCCTGATTTTTTGCTTACTGTTATTCTAGAATAAGTTACGAATGCGAATTCAATAACGAGCAACGAGTTCGTTGCTGTTATTCGTTTGGAATGTAAACGCGTTAGGCACTTAAAATAAAAAGGACATCTTTAGCCGCACCGGAATCGACTAATATCGACAATTATTATACTCTTACGGAACATTACGAGATTCACCCGGCGCTTTATTATGCGCGATAATAACATTCAAGGTCGCCCGGATTCTCCGTGTTTTTGGATTCATCCGTGGGGGTAAACACGACTATATATACGGTGGTTACTTAAAGTTTTGCACACGCATTCGCAGCCACATTGAGCCTCCGATCGTTTACGGACCCAAGACACTCAGTTCGCACTACAAGAGTCGACATTCCGGCCGAAGACAAAATGACAGGACTTAAGGTAAAATCATGGTATTATTATTATTACGATTCGTATAAAAGTCTATAACTTAAACACGAGGGCAATTTTTTTATTACTATTTTTTTTTTGAAAAATAATTTTCATCCACAAAATTGTTCTACTTTTCGAATGTCAACGATACTGTGTACCACAGTCGAGTTCGATTTTTCCTCTTTTTAACTTAATTGAATATTATCATTAAAATCATTCGACTTACGAGTTTTTTTTTCGAGTTCAAATCGAATAAGATATTTTTTACTAACTAGTATTCTCTATTTTTCAGACCGTAGGATTGCTGTGCGTGGCTTTCGCTTGCTTGGCACGAGCCGCCGAGGAACCGTCGGCACCGGCCCAATACGAATTCGCTTACGCCGTAAACGATCCCACCACCGGCGACCAAAAGGACCAACAGGAATCGAGAAACGGCGACGACGTCATCGGTTATTACCGCACCCTGGACGCGGACGGTTTCGTGCGAACGGTCAAGTACAAGTCGGACGCCGTTAACGGATTCACCGCCGAAGTCGTCCGCGAGCCCGTGAACGGCGCCGCTGTTCCTGCACCGGCCGTCGTTAAGGCCGTGCCCAAGCCAGTCGCCGTCCCAGCGGTCGCGCCTGTGGTCGCCCCGGCACCCGTAATCGTCCGCGCACCGNCGGCTATCGCGCCTTACTACTTCGGATCGTCCGCGGGTTACCCGTACAACTACCAACCGTACTCGTACGGTTACCAGGGTTACCAAGGATACCAGGGATACCCGGGATACTCGGGATACCAAGGATACCCAGGATACCAGGCATATCCCTACACACCGTACTCGTACGGCCAATACCCGTTCAGCGCCCCGTACAAATATACGGCTCCGGTCGTCAGAAAGTAGATGTCAAAACGAATTCATTTCAACGTTCCTTTGCGAGTGTACATATGAGACGTCTTGTGGAATCTTTTCGATTTAGTCCGGAATGAGTACGGACAAACATTTCTTCAACCATGATTTACCTATTAATCATAATATGAATTTCTCGATGTGATCAAAATATTTTATTACTGTATTTTAAATATGTGTATTTTATAACGAAAATTCAATTATAATATTCTTGTTTCCTATTCTATACGCCTGTGTATTTATTTATTTTTCTGTTATACGAACGTCAAATGTTATATTGCATTCAGTTATTTTGACTTCACTCCATCTATTTTGATGAGACACTCGGTGTGAAGAATTATTTCACACTCAACTTGTGTAATTTTTAAATAACGAAATAAGTGGGCATTTTTTTTTTATATTTGTCAATATTGTTTGTATTACATGAATAACGTGTAGATGTTTTAATATATATTTTAGCTTAACCGCTAGAAAAACGTGTACGCGTATATGCGTTAACCGAGATCTGTAATAAAATACGAACAAGTAATTTTAAGTTTCGAAATAATACACTTACCGTTAAAACAAAATTTTCGGGATTAATCTTTCTATTTTTTTTGTTTTTATTTCTAATTTTCTATATTTAGAGGCTTTGGATTTAAAAAACCAAAAAGTACTCATAATATAGTTTCTGATGAACGTTATACGTTCTGGGTTTTGACAACGAACATTTAACCTCCATTTTTACGTATAAACGTTGTACTCGTTTTTTTTTTTTTATATTGTGGCTGGCGGGTACAATTATATCAATGTCTTTTGAATTAAACAGGAGCTAAAGTACGTGTCATGTTTTTGTACTTTATTATAGTAATTTTTTTATTAGTTCCCGTAATGTTCGATATTTGCTGAACTAAACCAAGGACAGTAAATTAATAATGGAATAATTGATTATTCTAGTATCTTGAAATAATATTAAATATTTTCCAAATTTTGACCAAATATGTAATAAGTCCGTCTTTAATTGTTTGTAGATCAATGTTTTAACTTTAAAATTACGGGTATTATTATTATTATTTTTTTAAATTCGCTGAGTACTTTCATCTTTCTTACATAATAAATAACTAAAATCACGAAAGAGAAAATATACTGTGGATGCACAAAACATTTTAAATTTATAATTTAAAATGGACTATTGTGCTGTTTGTATGTTTAAAAACATAAATCTAACCACGGCGGTGTACAAAGTATATTCTGTGAAGTTTACGCATACATAATAACTAAATTGATACACGATTATTCTCACAAAATCAAACAAATCCAAACTCCAAAGTTCTGAAACAGTTGAAAAAATTGTATTGATACTCGAGCTATTTTTTGAAAATAAGATAATTTATAATCATTATTGTTTGTTACGATTCTATTGTTCTTGTCAATATTATGATGCGGTTTGTTTACGTTGAATTTATTGAACAGGTGGACTAATTAGGTCTATATTAATATTGGTTGAAACAATCTACTGGAAACGGTCATAATACGATAATATTATAGTGGATGACGAAAACTAGTCCGATTGCCTTTCCCATCTGTGCATTGTTCGTTTTTATTTGAATCTCAGCCATTTAATGATAAAACTAACTGTTATTTCTTTTGCTTTCGTTGTGTTTTTGTAGCTACAAAATATTCAAAGCTCATTAAATTAATAACGTTTTTAGGATCGTGTTTAGTATAATATGATCACAGGGCGATAAATCCTCAATAATCATCAACCTTACATTTTTTTAGTGATTTTTTTTTTTGATAATTTATGAAACTAATAGTTGAAAAAAGATAAATTGTCGGTTTTTTGTTGTCATTCTTATTTTCGAGGATGAAACAACTACCCGTTTTTGATTTTTAAATGGCAAACTATATTTAAAATTCCGTAAATAAGTGAAATTTTAGTTTGTAAACATTTTTGATGCTGTCAGTTTTAATTTCCATTTACCTGTTGACAATATAATTCACTTTTAACTTTCTCTAGGGGGACAGAAGTGGATTATCATTTGTAGGGTGGCGCGATGTGAGGTGTTTGAGTAGTGTCCCACTTCTATTCCACAAACTAAAATTTTAAAAAGGTGGAGACCTACTTCGCATGGGCTTAGGCTGCTTTTATAGGTGAGAAGTTGAAATGGTAAGATATGGAGAGGAATTTAATGTATATCTGTACGCAACAATTAATCAATGATAGTAAAAATCGATTCTGAGTGAAGTTCGGTTATTTATGTTTTGAAAGGCCGTAATAATTACGAGTTTCTTCAAAATTAGCCGTTAAAATGTTTATAAAAAAAAAAATATTCTACCTTAAACTCAATATTTTTTCTATTTTACCACAAAGTAAGGCTTATAGAAAATTTTCTGTTAAATTTTCAAATATTTCTATTTTTTCTAACAATTTTATCCACAGAGTACCTACACAATAAAAAATATTTAAAAATTCGCAAAACTAAGATGTCTCAAATGGCAACCTATATTCAAAATTCCATAAATAGATTGAGTATTAATTAAAATAAATGTAAATTTTGAAATTTCATACGTTGACGAGATACTCCACTTTTAAGTTTTGGTTGGAGGAGAATAGTGGAGTGTCATATGTGTGACGGTTCGGCTCGCGGCGTGTTAATAATGCACCACTAATTTCCTCCAACCTTAAAATAAAAGTGGTATATCTCGTTAACGGTTTAACAGAAATCAAAAATTTCAACACTGAAATTTATTTTAACTAATACTCAATCTATTTGTGGACTTTATAATATAGGTTGTTATTTGAAAATCAAAAGTCGGTAGTGGCTTTAACCCCAAAAATAAGGGTGACAAAAAATAACATAAATATAAAATTGCGGAGCAGCTTGTTTCTTAAATGTTCTAGGAAACAAATTCCGGAACAAGTCAATAATTTCCGAGATAATGAGTGTACCCACTTAAATGAATCAGCTGGTATATTTTAAAATGAAATTTTTGGAAATTAACGAGTGAAATACCAAAAAAAGTGGCCTGATCCATTTTACGTTGGGTTCAAATTTAGTCTCGTAATTCTTATTGCTAAACTCGTCGAAGGAAAAACGGTTTAATTCGCTATGTTACGTATATGCGTTTGAAAATTAAAGAAAATGTCGGTAACTAATCTCTTGAAGTTTAATACTATCGGTACGAAACAGTACACAAATAATTGTTTAGTTGAATTTAATAATAATCTACTCTTGCGATATAAACGCGATAAAATGTATAGACGAGAAATAATTTTAAACAGTACTTCACCGTGTATATACTGTAGACTACTTCGGACTAATTGCGGAAGCAGTTCGTTTACATTTAAAAACTAAGTGGTTTATATTTGTGTGATTATTATTATTGTTTGTATCTGTTATTATAAATTGTAATTTATAACGCTTACGACTATCTTGTACAAAGAAGAGGTACCCCGCTTGAACTGAAACCAATTAATTCTGTTTACAAAGTTAACAAATTTAAGGTTTTTAAATTACTACTGATTTTCTAAATGTTCGTGACCGATTGATTGATGAGTTATCGGAACAGTTAATTGAGAACATAAAAACCATATTGGCGTGATTTCAAACCGTACTTGCCACACTGTACGAACGTTTGCATTTCCGTAATCGCCTTAATAGGCTGTCACACCCCTCGCCCCTGCATGTGCCGTTTGCGTCTTACAATCGCACGGGTGCACGTCACAGCAACTTTGCGTTCAGCGGGGGCAACTCTTTGCTGTTAGAATTAAAATCAAACCGAATTGACTTGTTATCGAACTCAAAGACGAGTACATTATCTGTTCGACTCGGTCGTTTTTATTCATTTAGATGTGTTAATTTTCAAGAGAGGTAAAAATATTTTTAAAATATGATATTTCACGCACTCGTTTCTCGCTTGAAAATTAAAATATCGAAAAAACCGACGTACAAACACAGATAAATTTTAGGTTAAGTCAAGATCAAAGGGTCGATTCACTCTAATATTAAAACTAATAGCACAAAGAGTTGCCCTTGTTGAACGAAAATTGGTCGTGCCGTGTATTTGTAAGACGGAGACAGCACTTACAGGTCGTGGTGTCCTTCTAAGGAGAGTATATAACATAGATTCTAGGAATGATTTTTTTGAAAAAATGTTTTCATTTTTTATCAAGATATGCGTATTTTAATTTTTTCTTAATTTTAACCGTAAAGTCATAGGATCCATAGTAAACAAAAAAAGACAGACAAACTTTGCACCACTGGTGGTGGGCCACTATTGTGGGTGTGAAGTTAGGAAGGTTTGATACAGGGGGGAATTAAATTTATATCTATGTGCAACGATTAATTACTGCTAACAAAAATGATTTTGAGATGAGCTCGGTCAATAGTATTTCTTTTTAAACAAGGTAAATTTTTACGACAACAACGATTGTTTAAAAATGATTAAAACAATAATAACTTAATAACAGCAATATATAAATAAAAACGGTGGCCGATGATAACTTTATTTTTAACCTTTTTCAACGTAAAAACCAGATTTTCCTCGTTATTTCGAATATATAAAAAAAAAAAGACATTTTTAAAATACTAACTAGAGTCAAAATGCAACAATAAAGGTCTCTTGTCGTGTTTTGATCGAAGCAAGATTTCTAGGAAAAACGGTTTTATTAAACTAACCCTGAAAAATAAAATACACATATTTTAACGGTCGAAGCACATGTGGACCAGGAACGTTTGGGCAACTAATAAAACTGCAACTCGTTTGGATCAATACTTTTAAATTTCTATAAAGGCTCGCTAAATAAACGTTTAGTTAAACTAATATAAGGAAAATTTTCGTCAAAACGGGTCTTTAAAACTCGTCCAAACGGGTTGTGTTTCAGAAAAATTGGTCCAAACGGGTCCGGCCTATTTTAACTGAAAAGGGCGTTTCATGGTCGGAAATTTTAGATTTTAAGTGGAGCTTATGGTTTTACAAAGATATTTATTTATTTTTCCTGTGGACAACTTTTCTGCTAGAAATATTGCTCCGATTTACAAAGATCGCACCTTTTCTGAAAAGGAAATCTGACTTCGGAAGAAATCGGAGGTACTTTATTATTTTTTTGATTTTCCCAGAAGTTTCTTCCAATAAATGGGAAAACCAGAAAAAAACGTACGAAAAACGGGAAAAAATGCTTATATAATTACAGAATCGCTTTTTCATTAGCAATGGTTTATCGTTGCTTACAGTTGTACACATCATTTCCCCTCTGCTACCTTCCCAATTTCTCACCTGTGTACAACAGTGGCCCACGTGCGAAGTTTTATTTTGATTTAATATTCAATCACAAATTGTTCGTCTTTATTGTTGTATTATTCAAAATGTTTTAGATTCAGAGCGTATCGAGGAATACATTAGTTTTATAGTGAATTTTTATTTATTTATTTTTTGTAAACAACTTTTCTACCAGAAAATGTTTTTTTTTTCTTTCTTAATATATTACACCGTGCTAAACTGCGCGTGCCGTATTTCGGCACGCGATATATTATACAAGAACGCGTTCAAAAGTTAAAACGAGCGCGCGTCGACTCCGCAACGACGGCACACACGCGCAACGATCTTTTCGGTTTATATTACATAACTCGAACAAAATAAAAAAAATCATGAAAAAAAAATCAATTATACGATCCGATTACACTGCGGCGTACCGGTGCGAACCGGTGGCGGTCGACGCGTTATTTTCCGTACGGTCCGCGCGTCATCCGTCCCGCGGCGCGTCCGAGGTCGGCCGGATCCGCCGCCGCGTTTCGCGTTTTGCCCGCACGGGACAAATGCGACCGCGTATATATAAACCGAGATCGCCCGGCGTCTCGCATACGCATTTCGAGTGTTCTTCCCGTTCGCTGTTTGTGTTTCAGCGGCCTTTTTGTTTTACCGACACCCGCCGTTCAGACGCTCGACCGAAATGCAGGGTCTTAAGGTAAGTGCGGCCGTTTACGATTTGTAAAAAAAAAATAAAAAAATAAAATAAAAACCGAAATCGATCGCGGGCCCGGAACGAAGACGCCCGAAAAGACGTTCTCGATCCGTTCGGCGCGCCGCCGTACGTTTTCGTCGTTCGCGACTAGATTTCGGCTTTACGTAATATTCACCAATGACGAATCGTTGAAATTTTTGTTTTGAACTTTTTATTGCGATAATGGTGTTATTGTTTTCGTTGATCCCATAGGTATAGACAATTATATCGATCGAATCACGGACGTTTCCGTGATAAATAATTTCGCTAATGATTTTTACAAACTTAAAAAACATATCGTGGAATCGGTTCGTCGTTAGTAAATGTCGGGTTTCATAAAAAATTAATTTTTCAAATGTTATAGTTTTGAAAACATATAAAATAGACGAATCTAGTGCAAGGCTCTAGGGACTTTTATAAGAAAAGAAAATACTAAAGTCGGCGAATTTCTCAACGATTGGCGTTGTAATAGTATTATATTTTTATTAAATTCGCCTTTCCGTTGTTTTCGATATTTTTAATCTACTAGAATTTTGTTCTTGGGGTTTAATTTTTTTTTTATTTTTTACCAAAGAAATCTCGTTATTTAACGGGAAATGATACGCTTCGAGAGGTTGGGTCAACACCGATATCAATAAATCCCTATACTAATATCTTTTTAACGGATTTTCTATTTAAATAATTCGGTTGGGCTTTTACACAAGCAGATACGAATAAAACCATATGTCGGTGTTGAAAATCCGATCGGTTTTTTTTCGTTTCATTCTTAACTCGTGCGTTCTGATTTCTCAGACTGTAGGATTGCTGTGCGTGGTTTTCGCTTGCTTGGCACGAGCCGCCGAAGAACCGTCGGCACCGGCCCAATACGAATTCGCTTACGCCGTAAACGATCCCACCACCGGCGACCAAAAGGACCAACAGGAATCGAGAAACGGCGACGACGTCATCGGTTATTACCGCACCCTGGACGCGGACGGTTTCGTGCGAACGGTCAAGTACAAGTCGGACGCCGTTAACGGATTCACCGCCGAAGTCGTCCGCGAGCCCGTGAACGGCGCCGCTGTTCCTGCACCGGCCGTCGTTAAGGCCGTGCCCAAGCCAGTCGCCGTCCCAGCGGTCGCGCCTGTGGTCGCCCCGGCACCCGTAATCGTCCGCGCACCGGCCGCACCAGCAGTCCTCCCGGTAGCTGCCCCGGCTATCGCGCCTTACTACTTCGGATCGTCCGCGGGTTACCCGTACAACTACCAACCGTACTCGTACGGTTACCAGGGTTACCAAGGATACCAGGGATACCCGGGATACTCGGGATACCAAGGATACCCAGGATACCAGGCATATCCCTACACACCGTACTCGTACGGCCAATACCCGTTCAGCGCCCCGTACAAATATACGGCTCCGGTCGTCAGAAAGTAGATGTCAAAACGAATTCATTTCAACGTTCCTTTGCGAGTGTACATATGAGACGTCTTGTGGAATCTTTTCGACGGACAAACATTTCTTCAACCATGTTTTACCTATTAATCATAATATGAATTTCTCGATGTGATCAAAATATTTTATTACTCTATTTTAAATACGTGTATTTTATAACGAAAATGCAATTATAATATTCTTGTTTCTTATGCTGTACGTCTGCGTATTTATTTAGTTTTCAAAAAATGTCATAAGAACTGAAATCCATTATTTTGACCCATTGGAATTGTGGTTTCGTCCCGTCTTGATCAGAACCGTTGCCTTGGTGCGAAAATTCAAACACGCCCAATCGGTGTGACGTATAAAGTCCGAAATAAATACGAACGTTTTGTTTATTCGTCAATATCCTTACTGCAGCCCATACCGGTACTGCATCTCTCCGTACAAATATACGGCTCCGGTCGTCGGAAAATAAATATCCATTTTCGATTTGATAATTTGGCGTCTGGCAGATTAGCGGTTTTTCTTCCTCTTGAATTTTTTCCGTTGTAAAACGCGTATTTCTGATTTTTACCTACGTGATGACGCCATGATCGAAAATATTAACGATAACAGTATCCGTTTTACAGAACAATAATGTATAGTAATGAATGTCGATTTCAATTGCGCGCTCGTATTTACTCGCAGGGCGACTGGAATCCAAACTATCAAATTATCCTTCGCGCTGTGTAATATTGTAACGAACCGGCAGTAGGTATATTATACAATGAATAATAATGCGCTTGTTGATCGGTTCACCATTCACAGTATCACATTTTATGGTTTTTAAATGCATTATTGTTTGTTTGCACTATAAATATTACGTCTGTTCATTGAGATTGTTATTGACGCGTTTAATACGAATCGCGCAACAATGATAATCGATGCCGGTCCAAAACAGACTTGGGTAACAAATCCGAGCATGCGTCGCAATCGAAGCTTTTCAACGTTGAATGATAATCGGAATGATGTTGCGTCGGTAATGGTTTGTGCAATGTATCGTACAAAATTAATTTGTTTTTTCCAAGACGTTATCCAATGATTATTCGTTTTAGGTACAATGGCAAAACATAATGTAAAACCGAAATAAAATAAAATTGGCATATAATGTGTGTTTGCTGGTTCATTTTCAAGTGAATTCAATACCGTCGTTGAATTCGTATGGCATTATAATACATTTTGATTTGCAAACGTGCGTTTTAATATTGAAAATTAACTAGAATATTACAATATTATACTTGCCTAATATTCTTGCCGCGTGCGTTTCCGAATCTATATTTGACACTCGTATTGTTGTATGAATGTGTTATAGAACCGAAATCAATATTTCGATATTATAATGTTAAACTTTCCGAAAAAAAACCGCTCGGTCGCGTAATTTATTTAAAACGCTAAGATTTATTACGCGCTGTTGGATATACATAATTTAAAGGGTGTTATTATTATTATTATTTTTTTATATATACAGCTATATTGTCGTGTTGTTAATCTCGTTCTAAAACTGTCTTCGATTCGATCGCGTTTTGTTTGATTAATGGTCCACAAACCCCATATTTTTAAATTTGTGTCATCATCAGGTCTCTCATTGCAAGGTCGTTGCTTGAGGTCGATTCGAACGTTTTTTTTTTTTTAAACAATATTGTCAACCATTATGATTATTAATGCGATCCAGAACGTTATCGATATATTATTGTCATCACGAAACTCTAAATCGTTCCGCAGAAACGCGTGTCTATATATTTATTTGACGCGGCGCACAGTGGTCTAAGAATGAAATTTAGGTGGCGAAAATAGGATATTAAAAACGTTCAAAAAATTTATTTGGTCAAAATGTTGAAATATCAAGATTTTCAGAAGAATTAACTCCATAAAATCGTAATCTTAAAATGTTTCAAAAATAGTAAAATATGGTTATTTTTTAAATTTCTTTACCAAACCATACAGATTTAATTAATGTAGAATTTTTTTGTACACCCCTGTGAGTAATATGTAAAAAAAAAAAAACATAATTTGATTATATTTACTATCGCAGGGATCATTGCAGTAGGGGTCAACATTTTAAAAACAATAAATATAAACTTTATGAAATTGCTATAAATTGCTATCTTAAAATTTTTGAAGAAATAATATAGTTAAAAGTTATTTTTTTATATTTTTAGTCCATATTCATGTGAAAAATATAAAAAAAAAAAAACCAAGCTTATCTTCCGAGTTATTACAATGGGTACATCTTCGTGAGATACTCTGTTTACAACGGTGGATTATAAAAAAAAAAAAAATAAAAAAAATAAACGTACACATACAGATTGGTCGTTACACCTACGCAAATTTGGCGACAAAATGATTTGTGTACCGGGCAAATGAATAAACAATACGTATTCGCCTCGTATTTTTTTCCAAACCTATAATACTGGTTTTAGTATCGCAAAAACCTTCGGAACACGGACACGAATTTACGACGGTATTGGTCGCATGGATACAATAACAATACAACGACTCGTGTAAACTCGTGTACGAAAATGTACACGTATAGGTGATAATGTTAAAATATTCGTGGGATTATTTCTCAAACAAAGCTAATATTAGATAATATTATACTATTGCGAATCGTTTAGAAATGCTTGCGTCGGCCTTTGGAATATTTATTTTTTTTTTCAAACAAAAAACGAAATGCGCGCGGCGAAATGCCGGTACGGTCTCCGTCATACTATTAACGATGCGATTACGGCTCGCATTAATCGACGAATGTCGCCGTCCGAATTTCAATAAGGGAAATGTCCGCTGCACTTTCTTCGCAGGTGTCCGTCGCGAATTTCTGTTTATCGAAAATATTGTGCAATTGAATAGCTGATAGTAAAACACAATTGTACTCCTACTCCAGATTGCCGGCAGTTTATCCGGTGTGTTCGACAACGCTACACGAAAGTTTCTGTAAAGGTTATGGTTTGAGTGATATTTTCGGTTGAGAAATAATTTACGGATACAAAAACATACACACATCACGGTGAGACCATTATATTCCTCCCCTTCGCTCAGAATCTAATAACTAAACACTCCTCTACCGAAGGAACATGCGGCTACAGAATGTGTTTCCGCAAGTTTTTCCACGGCCATTTTTGATTCGGTCACTACTGCTCGGACCCTTCAAATAAATACACCCTGTACTTTTTAACCATATTTCGAATACCGGGTGTTTGTAAATGTACACTATTATGAATAACGTACACAGCATTTTATTATACCGCGGGCGTGACGTGAATCCCCAACCGACAGCGGTGACGTGTACCGGATGTATTGTTATTATGAGTGACAGACGTTTATTTATAATACATTTAGGTACTTACGCCGGACTTCCGGGCGGCAAACCGAATCGGAACTGTTCGCAGCTTCTAGGCAATACCATTCGCAGGACCCACTAGCAGCGAGATTTGTCGGTCGAACAATACTGATTCTGTATTCGAATTGGACTCTGTGCTACAGAATCCAGCTCGAATACCGAAACGACAAAATAATAAGTCTGTCGCTCAAAATCGTGCCGTGCACGCGAAAACGTGGAAACAAAGTTTCAGATTAAATTGTTTTGTGTTTTAACACGTAAACGAATTTCGATCGAGAGTTATCTATTTGTTATTGTACCGGGAGCAACGCGCAATACGAATCTATACGAATATGTCCAGAAGTCTCCCGGTCACTTGCGGATTTCTTTCGATGACTTCGAAAGAGCCTCGGAAGCGAATAGCTCGCGGTAGTTAATTATCGACCGGGTGCGGTAGGTTTACGTTTAGGACATTAACTTCTGCCGTGGTGGTATCGGCTTTGGACCAACGAGTAGATCACGTTGTGTAAAACCTCCTGAAACCAACACGGTCGTTCGGTTCGAATCCAACGTGGATATTATTGGGTGTGCGAGACCGAAACGAACGTTTGAGAACCGCTCCGGAGATAAAAGTGTGTAATCTGTCGTCGTCTACGGACAGCCACTCAATAAAAACAATTTACAACAGGGCAAGACGGGTTGTTAATGTAGGCGAAAAAACACGGATAATAGTTAATAAAACTGCACAATACGGTTGTGTGCACCCGTTTATTATAAAAACTTCAAAAAAAAAACAACAAAAATCGAGAGAAAATCTCGAGAGTGGCGGTGCCTATGTACCGTATCGATACCGATAATACCGATCGACGTACAATATACACGAGGCACGAATATGCATTTAATAATCGGATTTGATCGCCTTAAAAAGTTGAAAACCGTCGAAATATGATTTTCGATCGTAATTATTAATGTACTCTTCTAAACGAACGGTCCGAAAGTAGAAAATATTCTGTTTTCGGATTACATTAAAAAAAAAAAAAAGTAATTAAACATATTAAAGAACATTTCCCGTGTGCGCTGAAATCCGGGTCCTAATAGTATTTTTTATATTAATCGCGTTCGACGTCCGACGCGTTAGTGTTGGTGTCCGACGTCCGCGAATTCGGCCGCCGCGGGTTTCTTCCGGTCGACCACGGCGTTGAAACCGCCGTGCTTGTCCGCCGTGTACGTGACCGTGCGCACGGCGCCGTCCGGTTCCACTAGCGTGTAGTAGCCGGTCACCGCGTCCCCGGTCCGCGTCTCGTGCTGGCTCTTGATGTCGCCCGTGTGCGGGTCGTGCACGTCGTACTGGAACGAATAGTGCACGGGCTCGTGCTGTTGCCGTTCGCCGCCGTGCTGTTGCCGTTCGCCGCCGTGCTGGTACGACCGCACCGTCGGCGCAGCCCCCGTCCCGAATCCTTGCCCGTATTGCTGGTAACTGCTGCTGCCGCCGCCGTACGATTCGTGGACGCGCGACGACTGATAGGAATTGCCCGCGGCGTCGTTGTGATGATGGCCGTACGGCGAACACTGCGTCCACGCGACCATACCGAACACGACGCATAGCTGTGTAGTGATCCGGCACACGGCCGACCGGGTTAGGTTTGATCGAATTAGATTTAGTTACGCGAAAATGTAAACAAAGCTTTAGTAATGTTTAAGTGCCTATGATCCGCGGTCGGACCCGATCTCGAAACATTTCCACCGAACTGAAATTTCGTGTCGTCTGAAGGCTGATACTTGCCTTCAGACGGGCGTTGTGCCGCCGACACAAAAAATTCGCCTCTTTTTCCCGTCAAGCAAATGACAAGTAAAATCGAAACGCGACCTCTCCAACACGCCAACAGCTAGATTGAAAACGCTACAAGAATGGTATTATAAACAGCGCTGCAAGTCGTAAAGAAAAACAGAGGGTTGAGTTACACCCATACCATTATCAGCCTATTAAGAATAAGTGTAACGATTGCAACGTCCTCAAGTGCATTGTCCAACCTAATGCTTTAGTAGCGGGTATGAATAGTGAATAACTAATGTTTTCGCAATCAACCGAAAATTAATACGACAGTTATAATTGTAATAATAGGTAATATTTTCATAAAATATTTTGTGATTTCACTATGACAGAGAGTATACGGCCATAACCAGAAGGAGGTGTACGGTGTTTATCCGTAACGGCACTGCAGCCCTGATTATAAAGTTTTCGATTGGAACAAGTTTTCTTGTAGAAAAAAAAAAAAAATAATACACGTCAGGTAACAAAACTGATTTAAAAGTATTCAAGGGTTTAATAGTCAAAATAAATGTAAAATAGTTCCGTTGTTCAAAAACCTGGAATTTGAATTTTCGGAGAGAAGACGAGAGAGATTGGAAAATTTCGTTTGAATTTTCGACAATAATATTCGTGAACCGTATTTCAGCTCCTTGACTACAAATCGTACGTACAAATCGAAATCCGAGAAAATGTTTCGGCATAGACTGTAGAAAAAACGATGAAAAAAAAACCCTTTGAAAATATGACATAAGATCGCTTACCACGGAACCGTACATGATGATGATATGATGATGACGTCTCGCGGCCGATAGTTCACAAAGTACTGGATGTCGAAGACGTGCGGTTACGGCTATTTAAACCTCTACTAAGTACGTATACACTGGATGTCGAAGACGTGCGGTTACGGCTATTTAAACCTCTACTAAGTACGTATACTTAGTGACCGGAAGCACGTATACTTAGTGACCGGAAGCTTTTTTTTTTTTTTTAGTGAAAACGTCTTATTATACGTTTTACATAAAACATTACACATCATACATGCTCGACGACACGGTACAGTGGCCCACCCGAGAGCTCGTAAGATTGAATTACTCCGGCGGAGCGGACATTATCGTTATTTTGTCATCGCGGAAATTCGGCGGGCAAACAGACCAGAGACACGCACAATCGTTCCAATTTAACACGGTGTTTTAATTGTATCGTGGTGTTACACTATCTCGCGTTCTGCCATCTTGTGTTTGGTCGTTGCGATTGTCTTCGGTTGTTGTATTTTAAATCTATAGTTGGTGAGTAAGAAAGTCGTAATTTGATTTACGGTGTAGTTTTATTTTCTTTTCTTAATGAGCAAAACCTAAAAACGGAAAAATTTACGAAAATAATGCTTTTATTGTTTTCAATTTTCGGTTTTTGTTGTAATTCAGTTAAAAATACTCGTAGAGACTTTAAATTTGGATAAAAATGTATATTAGTCTTTTTTAGACGCAGTAAAATTTTCAGAAAATGTTAACGAGTTTTTAGTTACTTATAGATATTTTAATTTTGTCAGTTTTGTACGGAATTTTTATTTGGTAGAGTTAGGTTAGATTATGTTAATTTTGCGGATAAACTGTGTTTGAATTAACAGAAATGCTTGACAATTTAACAGAAAGTTCATTATAAGTCATACATAGCGGTCAATAGAAAAAAATTGTGTTTAAATAATTTGTATTATTATTATTTTTAATAAGAATTTAAATATCAAATTTTGATAAATCTTAAATTTAAACGACCTTTCAAAACATGTATTACTGAACTTTGCTCCAAATCGGTGTTCAATAGTGATGGTTAATCGTATATTACTGGTATAAATTAAATACCTTAATGTATCCTATCTTCCCAACTTGTAATCAACAACAGTTACACAATACTTCCCCAGTGTTTGCACTGTTTTTTTTTGGTCTAAATGACATAAGTGTACCTAAAACCGTGAAAATATATTTCATTATAGATCCGGAGCCTAGCGAGGAATATTATTATGATATTTATTTATTTTTTTTTATCTTTGAACAACTTTTCTACCAGAAAAAATCGTTCCGATTTTCAAGTGTAATATGTTTTGCGAAAGGAAATTTCATCTGGGTGGTACTTTGAGGAGGACTTTTTTTGATTTTCCGAACGGTTTTCATAATAATTTGTAAAAACGGGAAAATTTGCGTACACGTATAAAAGAAACTCCGCTCCAAATCGTTTTTCGTTATCAATGGTTTATCGTTAAACGCCGACAATTTAATACGGATTTTCGGACTCGTACAATCAAATATTAACTATCGTGTTATACATTATAAAAATTCATTAGAAATTAGCTAATCTTGTTTACGATCAATTGTGATTAATAATATTATAGAATAATAAAAATAACAACAATCCATATATGCGTAACATATTTAATACAGTTACGTTTTCCTTCGAAATGTTGTCTGTTTATTTACTTTTTTTTTTGTATCGTGTTTTCGTACGGATATGTTTTCATCAAAAAACAAACAAACAAAAAAAAAAAAAAAACACACGTTGTTTGCATATGAAAGTGAACCGAGAACCGTAACATTTAATTAGTAAACGCCCGATTTATCCGTCCGAATAATCTTCTATATTGTCGTTACGAATAATTTAATGCAGCGGAAATAATGTGCGAGAATCACCGGGAAGACTACAGTATCGTCAGTTCAACACTCACCACCGGTCGAATAATTATATTTTTCTCAGTTTTCGCAAACCGAACTACGTATAGCTGACATGTTTGTTTTGTCGCCGCGATTTCGATTAAGTTTAATAATGTCTGTATGGTTAAGTTTAATTGTTTAGAAAACATGCGAAACTGTTTGTGTGAGAAACCTTTTTATAGCAGTTAATTAGACGTTTTAATGGGCATTACGTCGAATTGCACTTGGGTTGAAATAAAAAAAAAAAAAAAAACAACAAAACAGATAATGTTTGAACTGCATTATGTAGGTCGTAAAAGACATACCTTACAAAAGTGTTCGAAAAAAAAAATGGATTTAAAAGTTCTAAAAATACTCGTCTTCCCAATTACAGTTTAATAACTTCGGCTAGTAAAATTGAGTTTTTTTTTATACATATACTGTTTATGTATACAAGTAAAAATCATTTTTTTTGCCTGTTAAATTACTTCAGAAACTGAAATTTCTTTTTCACTTAAGTACAGTTTGAAATTTATAATTGGACGGCCTTCGTGTGAAAGGACCGCAGGTCGATTTTTTCTATGTCAATGTTTTACGAAATTGTCAGTCCGATCGAATGACCGCAATCACAGGTCAGTATATTACAGAGATGCGTTTGGTTACAAGTCATACAACTGAATTTTGTTGTGAGAAAGGCATATTTATACAGTCAACTGTCACGAGATAGGACACACCGTGTTAGTACTTTTATTTAACGACTTATAGGGCACTTCAATTCATCTATAAACATATGGTGAGCAAAGTAATAATACTAAGTTCAATGAATTATACTCGTATAGACTTGTAAATAAAATACGCATTTTTAAAAACTATAAATATACACGAAGAAAAAAAAAATTTAACTGTAATAAAATGCCCCGACTAGATTATTAAAAATTGTACAAAAAGGATTATTAAAGTTTTTGATCGGAGCAAGATTTCCGGTGTAGCCGCGATTATTTACCTCGTGAAATTTTACTTGTCTTGGTAAGTTATCTCTAGTGAAATTTTACCTCCTTGTAAAATATTCGGGGGTTAAATATCCTTAGCGAATATTTACCTCCGGTAAAATTTTACCAGGGAATAACCTAAACTTACAGAGAATAAAATTTCACTAGAGAATATTTACCAGGAAGTTAAATTTCACCAGGAAAAATTTAACGAGGGGGGGGGGGTAAATAATCTCGGTTACACTGGTAAAAATATGGTTTAGTAACACGAGAAGAAAAAAAAAAAAACATTAAATTCAATATACATTCTTCTTTTCGTTCAGAGTCCGAAATTGCTGTTACGTTATCAACAACGTAATTAATTACTGTGTGTTATGCTCGTTATAATTAAACGAATTGTTGCCGCCCCGAAAATTTGCCACCCAGGGGTGTTACTTCCGTGATTCTTCCTTTCCTCTCTCCCTCCCGCCATTAATGCGACCACCGGAACGGTTAACATTTTAGCTTTTAAAACAACAACAGCAATAACAACAGTGACAATAACAATAATAATAATACGTGCAATCGGCACGTTGATTTCGCCAATTTGGCACGTTGTTGTCCGGATCGTTTGACGTAGTAGGTGTAAAATAAACGACCTAACATTATGTGTTATTATCGTGCCGTGTTATGAGCGTTCGTCAGCCAAGATGATGGTATTTCGAGGATATCTACTTTTTAATAATAACCGTATACATTATACATAAGTACATTATTATTAATGTATGTGCGCTCCGGTGTTATTCGGCCGATGCGGGCATTTGTTTTCCGTATACAGGGCGATCCGTTTATCGTTGTCCGACAATTTCGTTCTTCTTCGGCGGTTATACGTACACGGAATCGGCTGCGATCGTTTATTTCAACACCGTTTTCAATTTGTTACAGCGGCGCGGCGGCCGTCGCAGTGGCGACCGGGGCAGTCGTCCCTAGGCGTAGAATTTTTTTTTACGGGCTCTTTTGGGGTCATGCGCGATATAGGGGCGCCGGTGATTTTCAAGTGTTTGGCAGACGGATTATGGTTAATTGACTGCGATTCACGCGTCACTCACAAGAAGGGAAGAGTTATCGATTTATCGTCAATATGTGTATTGCAATTTTTAGGGAAATATTTTTGGTTCGACTGATCATCTGAGTTTAAAAACGAGGAAGGAGCCTATTTGAAGAAGTGTGCAGGTACTCATTTATACCATGAATTTATTCCTTAAATTTTAAAGTATAAAATTGAAAATAGTGTTAAAAAAAAATAAGCGTAAACCAAATTCTCCGAACAAATCGCTGGTTCGTGATAAATGGATCGTCCTGTATATTATATGCATTCGTGATCTAAGTGCGTATTTCTATAAAGATTTTAATATTATCATAAGCCGTACCTACGTTTTTTTTTTATACTTGTTAAATATTTATAATACATTAAAATTTAACATTTTAGTAAATAACAAGCCAACTACTCTACGTGTCGTTTTTAATCGAGTCATTAAATTTTTTTTTTTTAGATCACAAAATCTAAAAAAAAGCGAGGAATGTATTTTATTTTTTACGCCTTTTTAAAACTTTTCCAATAGAAATATTGATCGGATTTTCTAGTGTAGCATCTGTTCTGAAGGCGAATGTTGTTTAGCCGAACGTTTTTTTCTTCGGGTTGCTAATAGTTATATGATCGCCCTAACATTTTATAAGTTGAAAACAAGAATATTTTAACAATTGTACAACAGAAAAATACAAGAGGTTTACAAAAAAGTTAAAAATTAGACATTTCACTGCATGATTCTTATCTGATAACGTGACAACGCAGACTACATTAGGAGTATAAAAACATTACAATGAATTGTAATTATATTTATCCGTCGTGATCAACATATTTAAGGGATCGTAACCCCCAACGGTTAAAGTTTAACTTTATTTTAAGTAAAAACACGTGCAAAATTATCTAAATATCTTGGCCGCGTGTACGCAAATATTTAGACGCGTTTAGATTAGGACCGCAGGTTAGTGGCATAACTCGATAGTAAGAAGCCCACGTGGAAATTTCAAGACCGGGGCCCTCTGGGTTGTCAATTATTTAAATAAACGTAAAACAATTTTGGTAATTTTTAAGCTAATTGTTGGCGTTTGATATTATACAATTTATTATGTTTATTATTCGATATTATGCGGATGAAATTGTTTTGACCGTGATTTCAAATTTATACGAGATCCGTCACAGATGTATTTGGTGGTTAACAAAAAAAAGAAAGTCGAGCGTAATGTGCGGTAGTTTTGGTTTTTCTTTTTTAAAGCGTTTAGTGTTGAAATTTTAAGAGAAATTCAGCGCAATAATTGTTTTCTCTCTCTGACCCACGCGCAACTTAGCGAATTTGCCTTCGTCAGAACCAAACTTGTGTTATTAGCTTGAGTTTTACAGTTAATTGACCTGGTTATCATACTTAAAGTCAAGAACATTATCCGTGTTTGTACGTTGGCTTTTTTGCGATATTTCAATATTTATGGAAGTCATCAGTAATGTAGAACAGAATACAATATGAAAACGTTCATGTATCGTATTCGATTCGGAATATCGTAAAAAATGTCAACGTACAAACGCGGGTAATGTTCTTAACTTTGAGTTTGATGATATAATATCAATAATTTACCGTAGTACTGAACAATACAAGTTCGGTTCTGTCGAACGGAAATTCGTTGTGTTGCACTTGGGTTGAAGAGAGAAAACAAACAGTGCGCCGACATCCGCTCAAAAAAACGTTATATCCGTATTTGGTGTTTTCCTTTTAAAAACGTACGACACAGAAAATGTGCGTTCATCGGGGACAACCTTGTGCTGTTAGTTTTAATATAACAGTGGATTGACCCGTCATTATCACACTTGACGATAAGACCTGCGATCGGTGTCGTGTTAATATTTTTCCTGTTATTTCAATTTTTCGGTGAGATATAAGCATTTTTAAATCTTATATCTCGCTTAAAAATGAAAATTACGAGAAAAAAACAAACGTCGACGCGATACAGATAATGCTCGTTTCGTTGTATTTGTTAGTAGGCCAATTCGCTCTAATGTTAAAACTAACGGCACAGCGAGTTGTCGCTGCTGAACGAAAATTTGCTACTTCGCGCGTTCGTAACACGGAGACAACACGTGCGGGTAACGTGAAAATCACAGAACCAAGTAGTGATTCCCAACCCATGGTCCATGGACTGCCAGTGGTCCGGAAACCATTATGGCGGTGATCTATACCTACGAAATTGAAAAAAAAAAAATAAATATTTATCGCGAGTTTTCGGAGTTTATTACGAGTTTATTAAAAGTGGAACATCTCGTCGCCGGGCCGACGGGAATCAATAATTTCCACACCGAAATGTATTCCGTCTTTTTACGGAATTCGTGATATAGGTTTTCCGTCTGAAAATCAAAAGTAAGGTCCGCCCCGAGAAATAATGGCGATGCAACATTTCAGAGCTATTCGTTCCTTAAATTGAAGACCTTCCACGGAGATCGGTGTAGGTCACGTGGTGGAAAAAAATATTCAGGAAAGGGGAAAACCGAACGGAGTAATCGTTGAGATATGCGTGTGTGCACGTTTAGTGTCTAATATTGTCGATTTTCGGAGTGTCCGCTTAATGCGATTATACGTTGTTAAATGCGTGAAACATGGGCCTAGGCAGCGCTGGGTTTATATAGATTTACGTGAAAAAAAAAAAAGAAAAAACGATTTTTGAAAATTCCGTAACGATCTCGTTGAAAGGTGTTCTGTTAAAAAAAAAAAAAAAATCCCGAAAAAAGTCAACTCTTTCCGAGGTGTCCGCTAACATACTCGCCGCATGGCACGGTGCGCGCGGGAAATATCCGAAAAAAAAAAAAAAAAAACTCGGCGTGTTGATGCGATGAACGCACCAACACGACTGCCGGTTTCGCGGTTGGCGCGCGCAAAGCTCGGCGGCGGCGATCGCGAAATCCGGACGGCCCCGGACCAATGAAAACGACGACGGCGATAATAATTTGCCGCGTGCACAACCGTATTGTAAATAATACAGCGGTTGCGGACGACCCGCGCGCGTTTCTAAACCGTCCGGACGAAATCCGCGTTGGCGAACGTTACGCGCGCCGCTAACCGTTCGTTTGTCCGCGGCCGGTATCGAAATCGCGCCCGCCCGCTGTTACGGCACCGCGACGCGGGCCCCGGTCGCGCGTTTACGTTCCCCTGCACGCCGGCGCCGGCGCCGCGCAGACCGCGGACGCGAACGGCAACGGCCGTCCGTCGCACGAGCGCGCGCAACGATGTATCGATGACACCGTGCGGTTTCGACCGGTACCGCAACACAACATCCGAACGTCGCGTGTTTTTCACCGCCGCCGGTCCCGGGTCCGGTACTGCACCGTGAAAGTCACAGGCGCCCTGAACGAGAGCGCGTAAACGTAAACACATCGCATTCGATGAAAAACCGCGACACGAGTTTTTAGCCCCGCAGTTAGAGGAGGTAGTTGAAAAGTTTATCGCCTCCGCCAGTACGGATCATAGCCCCCGGGGGATTTAAGCGGGAATTCGCGCGCTTAAAGTGTATAGTGGAACTACAACCCCCACCCCCCGCCCAACATATTTCCTGCGCGTACGAGATAAAGCCGAAGGAAAAGAAAGCAAACAATGAACTAGAATGGAGCCATTCGTTTTTGTTTCATTTGTAAACGGTGTAGTTTGACGATAAACCGTTTGATTAGTGTTTTATTCGTTTACATCAAGTCGTTTACCGGGCGATGTCAATCGTAACAAAAACTGTTGACAACGCCGTAGAACGGGAAACTGTACCGCGGATGTACAAATCTCTCGTTCCATAATGTTCTTAACGTTTTGTAATCCAAACGATTGTCGACAAACTTGTATTCGTGGTTGAGTTTTGAATTGTTTGTTTTCAATGACCGTTCATTCGAATCGAGTCAAATATTGATTGAGAAAAAAATTCTCAAGACGTCCAAATATGCCGTCTTACACGGATGCCGCGGCGTGTTCCGTTGAAACGCCATTAGAACAGATGCCGAATTGTATGGCGAGGTTCACATAAACGTCTAGAACGAATGAACCTCTCGCCGGGCCAATCGAACGATCCCGTTTCGGTCGGCGGCTCGTTTCTTTCGAGTGTAGGGAACGATAACACGCGGCCCGGCCGCCGGGACGGCGACGACGACGAAAAATATCGCAGGTAAACCGAAAACGTAATAATTGCGATCGCGAGCGTGACACGCGTACCGATGACAGACGCACGCGTCCTGGCGCGGCGGCAGGCGGGAGCGTTTTCTATTCGCGGGGGTTTCGCAACGGCCCGCGGTGGCCTCTTGAACCGCGTACCCGAAAAGCCGGGCTAGCCACTTTGATTGCCCGACTCAATTATTCAATTATAACGCGTTAGAATACTATTTAGAAAAAAAAAAAAAAAGTCGGAATCGTTAAATAATTGTTATTTTACAGCCGTACGCAGAGACGATTTCAAACGGAAAACGATCCTGAGTGAAATTCGGTCGAACGTGTTTCGAAACGCCGTGATTTTAAAATTCTCGTCAAAACCAAAACAAAAACAAACTACTACGTTGTAACATTACGGTCGTTTCCCCCCCTCCCCACCCCCATAAAGGTGAGATTTGTGTTGAATTTTCAAGCGTTTCTGTTCGGCCGAAACAATGTTGCGCGTAACATATAAAACCGATCAAACGTAGCAAATGTCAAATGCCTATTAATCACTCAGAAATCGTTAGAATGTTTGGAAATTTTACTACGTCCGGCAAAGACTAATGTTCTGCGCAAATGTTCAGTAGTTACGATTATTTTCAACCGAATCAAAACAACGAGAAACGAAATCGAAAAAAATAGAAAGCCTCGGGTTTTGGCGTACATTTCCGGTTTTTTTCTAAGTTTTTCCGCGAATTATAAAAAAAACTACGCGAAAAAAAAAAATTAAAAAAAAACCCAACACGCCAAACGGACCAAATTTGATTTTCCTAAAGATGTTGATGGATACTCGAAAATCGAGGTTTCGGCAGGTAGAAGCTATTTTTTCAGACTTTCCGTAGTGGTGCGAATACGCTGTATTTGAATTTGATACACGGATCGTTGGCGAAAATTTAAAATTTCAACGCAAACATTTATTTTTACTAAAACGTCATGTATTTATGGAAATTTTAACGCACGCTGCTGTTTGAAGGTCAAAAGTAGATAGTGGTGTCACTCCCCGAAAATAAGAAAAACAAAAAACGTAGTAAGGTAACGTCACATAGTAGAGATGTCGGTTTTGTATTGTTTAAAAAAAAAAAAAATTCTGAAAAAGTAAATACTTTTCGAGAAATGAGGAATGATTAATCTGTAAATAAAAAGTTAAAAAAAAAAAAAATCTGCGTGGATGGAACCTTTTGGTTTGTCTATAACCGCTTGGTCGAATTACAATTAGACAATTAGTCAACAAATTTTTTTTTTTTGTTAACCACTAAAAACAACTTATAATTAACGTTCTGTTCAATTTCCAACCATTTATGTTTGGTCCGAACATTTTTATCCATATGTATCTACCGAATAGAAATTACGTAAAAAAAAAAAAAAACTGTTAAAATTAAAATGCATTAATATGATTTGTGCGCTTAATAGCACACAAATCGCTAAAAAAATTTTCAAACGTTTTACCACGTCTAGAAGAAGCAAATATAAGTTTCCCGTCCAGATTTGAAATCCCTGCGGATATTCCTAACCGTATCATAACGCCTTAAAGTACCAAACTAGATAATGTGTCCGTTCAGAAAAGATCTGGCACTTGAAAATCGGAACAAGATTACCGGTAGAAATGCCCTGTGTACACGGTACACAAACACAAACGTCATTGTACAACCAACACGTTCTTCGGTTCACCCAGAATCTAAAAACAATAATACGATGTGCGTTTTTAACGAGACTATTAAATCGTCTGGAACCGAATGGTCCGTTTTAATTGACTATATTTTTTTTCAACCGACTGATAATGAGAACTTTACTTCGGTACACTGAACGCGTAATCGGTCAAAGACGATTATCAAGTGTTTAAACCATAGCCTAAACTGAGTTGAAAAGCCGTTTGCAAAAGTGACTTTTTAAACCAGTTGTTATCCTTCTGACCGTGATCGTTTGCGGTACCGCAGTGTAGTACGGCGTTCAGTTTTGCGCCGGCCGCGTCCGCGGTTTTCCGTCGCGGCAATCCGCGTGTATCGCCCAGTCGGAAAACCCCGCGCCGGGACGTCAACGGGAACCCTGACCGCCGAACCGAGGGCGACAACGTCGGCCGTCCGAGGCGCGTCATCGCCACGGCCGCTGAGATTTCACTTTCGCGCGTCCGACGACGTGTGGTCGTATTTTTAGATTGGATTGGACTCGGACCAAGACGCCGCGAGTGTGCGCCCGATGACCCGTTTAATTTACGGCACGGGCACGCGGCACGTTGCGCCTATCGGTTCATATCGCATTCGTATCGCGCCGCCACGTCCGTGTTACGACACGGCGGCGGCGGCGGCGGCCGTTTGGCAAACGCCCCTGCGTCCGGCGCGCGTGCGTTCGAGGGGGGCCCCGAAAAAATACCGATCGTGTGGGGGCGACCGACCGTCGGCCGGCCGCTATATAACCGTCGCCGGAGTCCGGTGTCAATCATATCCAATCGTCCAGCAAGTCCATCCAGTCGTGTGCTCAAAACAGTAGCAGCGTCGTTTATACAGTCTGTACAAGCCGACTAGACAAAAAACCAATCAAACAGCAATGGCGTTCATCAAGGTAAGTGTTTTATACAATTATTATTCGCATTCGAAACGTTCGTTAATTCGTCCGTTCTGGTTTTGTCCGTCCGTCAGTCCTCAATGGTATTAGCCGTCGTCATCGTCGCCGTCGGCCACTGCGACGCCGGTGCGGTGTCAGCCATCGCCCCGGCCCCGTACGCCGCATATCCGTACCCGGCGTTGCCGTACTCGGGCGCCTTCGCCGCCCCGTACCCGTTCAGGGCTCCGCTGTTGCCCGCCGCCTCCAGAGCCTTCGCCGCCCCGCTGACCGCTTACCCAGCAGGAGCCGCCCGATTCGCAGCGCCGATCCCAGCCGCCGCAGCACCGTTCCCGGCAGCAGTCGCCGCCCCAGCCGCCGCTCCACTGGTACGCGCCGCCCCGCTGGCCGCCGCACCCGTGCCTCTGGCGCCCGTCGCCGCCAAACTGGACTACACCGACGCTTACCCGCAATACCAATACGCTTACACCGTCCGGGACTCGTTGACCGGTGACGCCAAGGACCAGGAGGAAATCCGCGACGGTGATGTCGTCAAGGGCCGTTACAGTCTCATCGAACCCGACGGCAGCCGCAGAACCGTCAACTATTACGCCGACGACGTCAACGGTTTCAACGCCGTCGTGCAAAAGGACGTGCCGGTCGTCGCGCCCGCCGCCGCCGTAGTAGTATAATGCGATGTACAATAGTTATTTGTACACGCGCAATTGTACTGCAACGATATTTTGTCGCCACCGCCGGACGCAATCCATAATATACGTGTATTTTTTTTTTTTTTATTATTATTATAATTTGTGATTTCTTTTTGTACATAACGTGTTTCCCTCTGTTATATTGTATTTTCTTCCAAGACAATAAATAAAGTTATGCTTACGCTCTTATATATATATATATATATTATACGCACCTTTTTACGATATCTTGTTCGCCGTGATTACGGTCGAAATGACAATAGTCCTCCCGTATTCTCAAGTCCGAAACGGCAACGAAACCGGCCGTACCGTAGCGAATTCACCGCCTTATCACAAGCGCAATACCGCTGGCGGTCCGAAGTCGTCGTCTGGACAATACTACGGGCTATCTCTCTACATTTACCATCCCAGTCAGGTTCCCTTCTGTGAAAAGTGCTGTCGTTGTAAATCCGAGCGAAATCGCCGGTGGAGAAATTGTCCACGAAAAATTAAACATCATTGTAAAACCAATACATTCCACGCTCCACTCAGAGTCTAAAGTAACCGTCCAATGTACAGTCCGTTTTATTAGAGTTGGTTGAACTCGTAATAATACATCGACTCTTAATCGACTATATTTGATATTTCGGAGCGCGTACGAATCGGGAAATTATTCGGATGAAACTGTATATTTCTTTCTGGCGTAAAATCCTCGCTCGATACCGAACAACAACCGTTGGTTTCTAAACTTTTTTCAACGCTACATTAAGTATACGGTTTTTTTTTTTTTTTTTTTTTATCATTTTTGTCTATTGATCTTTCGAAAACCGCGAACCCCCCCCCCCCCCCCCGGAACGTACCGTCCGACTCGCTGCGCGGTGGCCCGTCCTCGTAAACTCGCCGCGAGAACGTTGCCGTGCAAACCGTTTGTGATCGTTACAATACGCCGAGCGAACGTCAGTGTGACGTGTCTACGCACGTAATATTATCACACCGTTCGTGGACAGTTTGCCCCCCAGTCGCACGACCACCGCGAGAACCGTTGCCGACGAGACGAAATTCCTTTTTACGTTTTGCACGCCGCGACGATACGAATCACACGCGACCGTGTACAACTGTGATGTGCACGCGACATCGCGAGGTCCAATCAAAAGCCTATCGACACCCCGATAGCGTTGCGCGTGAACCGAGCGCCGATGAGCTGCGTACGGTCCGCGTATCGTCGGCGCCCACGACCTGTTCCGAGCCCGTATTCGTTTGGATTCGCGCGGCACACGCCAAACAGCATATTTACGGGAAAAAACCGCGGACGCGCCGAGTAGCCGCGACCGTGAACTTAAACTTGTTTTCGCTCGGTATTCTCGCGACGAACTTTGCTGTCGCACGGCGCGCCCGTTCCATTCCATTCACAGTTTTAAATGTGGCAAAAATACAAATCTCCCCGAACCCTCGAAAAATGCGTCAAGTTGTTGTTATTTCGGAATATCTACGCGATCGCCAACCACGAGAAACGTATTTCGAAATAATATCGGTGCAATTAAAACGAAGATGTTTACAGAGAGTCGACAAAAGCAGTTGGGCTCAAAAGAAGTCGATGCTAGATGCTAGTGATATAAATTCTACTGTTCTTCGGGCAATGCTACTTATTATTATCATTGCGAAAGTTTGATTGGATAGATATTTGCTCCACTTTCACGGCCGAAACTACTGAACGGATTGAGATAAAACTTTGCTAAGGCGTAGTTCTGACCAGAAATAATATTGTATACGGTACTCTTCTTCCCCGAATTCAACCCCTAAATAGGGACTGACACGGGGTAACAAAACCAAAAAAAAATTAAACAAAATTAACGTTATTTCTTTTGTCGCGGCAACGCCACGCCGGTGGGACAGCTAGTTGTATTATAATTTAATGTTATGTTGTGCGAACGGTTCTCTTGAAACGCATTCAAATATTATTTATCTCGTTGAATACGAGTTTTAAAATATTCAATTTAAAACGATATACTGATTATATACGAATCGAAATTGCTGAGATTTAAAAAAAAATCTGTTGTTTTCGGAAAAATTCGTTTTTTAAGTTTTTTAGTTTTTCAATATTTCCGATAAATTGTACAAAGGAACTCTGTAAGTATCGAAACTATGAAATGTATTGAAATCAATACCAAATCGTATACATGAACAAATTGTGTACATGGTTAATGATTGTTTTTTGATGTTGAACATATTTTTCCGCGATTTTTCTCAAACGATACTCCATTACACTTCCCCTTTACTCACAACGGGACAAACTTAAAAGCTGAATGTCTCGTCGACGGAAATTCAACGCCAAAATGTATTTAAACTTAAACTTCACCTATGGAATTTTTAACGTAGGATGCTTTTTGAAAATCAATAGCGGGGATAGTAGTTTTACTCTAAAAAATAACGGCGACGAAAATAGGTTTTTTAAATTTTCTAAAAGCGAATTCGGAAAAAAGCCAACATTTTCCCAGATAATAAGTGGTTTACGCTACGCCTATCGTTATATGTATTAGGTATATTGTTGAATTGTCTTCGTGTAATTTCTATAAATATGAGTTTATTGTTTTTATAAAAAATTCACTCAAATCCTGATATTAAGTCAATTTAAATTTAAATTTCACACAACGATAAATCGGTAAAATACGTTTTTTTTACAATTTTTATTATTATTTCATTTTTCTAAACAACTCTGCAACATCTGTAATTTTAATTCAGAAGCAGAATATATTTGTATAGGTAATATATATATATATATATATATATATTTTAAATCGTAAAATAATACGATGTGATATATTGAAACGCATGGTCAATTATATCATAATGCGGTTAGGAAACCAGCCTAAAACGGGCAGGCCAGAGCTGTTCATAAGCATGATTGTATTGCGCGGGGCTTTTCGAGCGTTTTAGAGAAACGGCGGGGGTATTTGGACTGGAAGCTACGGCGAATAGCTACGACTAAACGAGAGGCTTTGATCGGCGAGACGGCCGTGAAATCAAAAATCAAAAAAAAAATAAAAAAAAAAAAAAAAAATGAAGTAGTAAATAATAATAATAATATCCCACGCGAATTTTATACCTACGGTTTTACAATTATCCGCCGTGCTGAGCTGAAATAATGGTTTCTTGAACGTTAAAATTATGTCGGAGTATTCTGGTTCGCAACCACTCGTCGGCTATCTAATACATTGTATTTATTCGTGGTAGAAGGAGGGAGGGGGAAATTTATGAAAATCCGATTTGAATTTACAAGAACAAGATCATAATGATGTTATGGTATACATTTGATCGTGGGTTTATTGTTTTTGTTTTATGCGATCAATTTGCATCGCTAACCGGTTTACAAAAAAAAAAAAAAAAAAAAAAAACACTACATTTTGACATTAAAACGTTTGGTATTTACATGACGTTCATTTTTTTTTTTTTTTACAGTTTCTTTTTATGTCTTATATGCGCTCTTCTTTTAATAATTTGACTAATTTTTTTTTAATAGGATACCATTATAATATATTGAAAAAACAAACGATCGCTTAAGGTCGTGACTATATTATTATTGTTATTAATGTTATTTTATTTTTCATTATAAATAGGTTAAAATATTATTTCTTTGAAGAATACAAGATGTCCTACAGTGTTATCCGAATTTTAATAGCTCTTACAATGTTCAATTTTTTTTTTCAGTTGGGTTTTGTGTCAGGTGGACACAAATGCAAAAAAAAAAAAAATGAATATTGACACAGTTATTAATTTTTCAGATAACACTGTAGGACGACTTGTACAGTTTAAAAAATTATATAAGTATAATTTATCGAGATTTTAATATGTAATTTCGTCCTTGTCGATTATAATAATATTATCGTGGTGTCACAAAGAAATTTCAAATTTTTAAGATAATAATGAAACTATAGAATTTTGAAGGAATATGAAGAAAAAATGCGACTATTTTTGGGAACGTTCATGCTTTATCGTATTTATTAAACGGCGATTCGAATTGTAAACGATTATGATAAAAAAAAACATAATAAAAATCAGGCTAGTATAATAATTAGGGATAGGCCAATATCATTTTTTACCGATATCCGATGTTCCGATACATGCTATCGATATAAAACCATGGAAATCAAAAACCATGAGTTAATATTGAAATCAAATGTCAATCGATAATTTTACTTTAAATAATTTGTCAATAAGTTTTTTATGTATCCTTAGTTCACCTGTTAGCGATAGACATGTATTTTGTTATCAGTCTAAACGATATTATTTTGAATGAAAGTCATGTAAACATATATATATGTATGTGATTATTGGTGACATAGACTTAAACATTGTAGGAGTTGATGATACTGATCACGAGTATTTTAGATGTGCTTTTCGAACATGGTTTCAGGTCATTTATAAATGTTTTACCGAAATCCCAACAAGGTACACTCCTGTTTGGATCATATTTTTTGTTAAAAAGGTAAATAATCGATACAACGTCATAAAGAATTGAGTAGTTCAAACATGTATAACATTTTTCCTATTGTACTTAATGTCGAAATGTTGAATAAAAAATATACGATTAAAAATACACTACAACCAACTGACTATATTAAATTAAAGAAATTATTCAAAAAAGAATCGTGGCAGGAATTATATAACATTAATGGTGTAAACGCGTATTTCGGCTTATTTATACTAAACAAAATAAATAATATTACTGTCGCCTCAACTACGACGATCACTGAAAACTCTAAAATAAATGTCTCAAAGAATGGATAACTACTGGTCTACTTCGCTCGGTTCGTCTTTAACAGGAATTGTCTATACATGTCAAACTACACCCCAAATATGTCGATCTAATCTCTTACTATACTAAGTACAAAATCAACTACGAGAGTATTGAGAACGTCTAAAATTTAATTTTATAAAAATAAATTTGTAGATGTCTTATATATTGCAAAACTAACGTGGAGGGTAATTAGAGAAATGTTAGACAAAATGTTTATATAGTCATAACCATAACCGTATTATTATATTTATATATTTTTAACCTCAAATATATACATGAATCAATATTATATTATACCGACATTTTTTTTTAATATTATATAAATATAATTTAATTGATCAAATTAATTATTATCAATGATGGCAATATAATA